ATATAGGCTTTTGTTTTTCATAGCCTGTTGCCGAAGCTAGCCTGAGCAGAACAATTTGCCAAACTGGCTTCTGCTTATATTGCTCAACACAGACTACAGATTTTGCTTGACCTTCCTCCTGCTGTCTGGCATTGAAGATGCACCTGCTGCCATGTTTGCTTGCCTTTTTACCGCAGCCTAGCAGTACATTGTGCGCTCCTGCAGCTTTATGCAAATCTGTCAATCTGTGACAATTAAAATAGAATGTCTGACTATTTCAGGCATCGAATTTCCACCAACCATTCATGACATGGTTGATCAGGTATATGTGTCTCCGGGCAAAGGTACCAACCTCACGTGCAAAGCCAGCGGCTACCCAATACCAATGGTATGGTGGGCAACGCAAGGCACATCGGTGGTGGCGCTTGGACTGCGAGATGTCGTCGGTTCCGCGGTGCAGACGGAACGATCTCTCACTGAACCTCACTCCCAGCAGGCAACTCTTCGTCTCACCGACATCACCGACCACTCCACCTACATTTGCATCGCCAAGAACACCCTCGGTGTCGTGCGCCGAAATATCAGCATTGTTGTTAAACGTATGTCCACAGGAATATTCTTCTTACCTACCCTTGTTTAAATTCAGCTGTGAATTAAATTTAGAAAATATGCATGCTGTTGCAAATAAGTCAAAAGGCACAGTTGTTTTTTTAATTGAAGTGTGACGCAGATGATGGCCGATAAAATATGTTATGAAACTTGCAAAATATTGCTTTATCTGTATTGTAATGCTGAAGTAGGCACACTAGTTGCATGCTTGAGGAAATTCTCACAGGGGCATCAAAACCAAACTTATTTGGAAGTTCTCTATAACGTATTCAGCTTGTCATCGGGGGAGTTTTACGATATTTTTGTAAGTCCCGTTTATGTGACCATATTCAGGGCGCTGTTTGAATAACAACAAACAAGATCTTTAATTGTTGACTAAGTTCTATTAATAATGATCCGCAACGCATCCAAAAAAACGCTTTTTTGTTTACCCTGTTCGTAGTGAATTTATCTCATTTCCGAACGTCAACATGTTTAGCAGTGGCAATAAGAAAGCTTACAAATTGTCAGATTCATGAAGATTCTAGTCCTGAGGAACATCCAAAAAATGCCTGTTTTTGGCAGATTAAATTTTGAAAAGGAAGTCTTTAATTGTCTCCGAGAAAACGTTTTACGTTTAGATCTTTTAATCCTAGTTATTTTCGTGTTTTTACAAGAAGGTATTCCTGTGCACATTTACAAAACAAATATATGTATAATTTTTCTTATAGCACAATTTATACATTTAACAAAAAACTTTTACCTTTCGGTTAGATACACGTAAATAACTAGTTCAGAAGGTTAATTAGGTGGGTAATTTTCACGGGGTTGTGGCCTCGAACGTTCATTTGTGCGAGGTAAACACAAATAAAGTGCAATATTACAGCGACAAAGACCTCAAAAGTATGCTTCTATAATTTTCCATTCAAAGGGTAACAGACATGCTAATATTTCCGGTTCTACATACAGATTAAGAATGCGGTGAAAAGGATATTTGTGATGTGCTACACAGCGCACTCATTTTATTAGTGACCGTTGACAGGTCAAAATCAACAGACTTTAAGCTGTGTTTCTTTTCCTTAAAAATGAGAATGGTTCTAATCGGAAATGAAGTTGAATTAGTCTGAGACTTTTTAAAACTCCTTTGTTCTGATTGTTCCCATTTTAAATTCTGCGGCCCGCAGAAATCTAATGTGTCCAAAGACACGGAGATTGAAAGCATTTTTTTCCAGTTAATGGACGTTTCATAATCGCATTGTCCACCTAGCAAAAGTGTCCTTGTTTCACTCATATCTTTTTTTTGTTCAAGATAGTAACATCAAAATCACTTTATTTTGTATTTTACTTTATGCTTTTAATTCACAGACAAGGTTTACTTTGTGGCCTTAATTTAGCCCAGTACTGTTTTTGTTCCTTGACTTGTCCGACATATACCTTACATTAGACAGTCACAGAGCAAATGAGCGTTTCTTAATCACGTATGATAACCTATATTCCTTGTGCTGAAAAGATGCGTGCTCTTCAACTAATTTGCGTCCTGTTGAAGTTTTGTAGAAAAATAAAAAAGTGTTTGAAGAATAAACTAAAAGATACGAGGTTCTTATTTCCTGTATACATTCTATTGTGATTGACAAAGGGATTAGCATAGATAGAGAATGAAGACGAGACAATGAACCGGAAATAACTTACATTGGATGACTTCCTCTATGGCCCACGTATGGGCATGTAGGCACTTATTCTTCTTCACTTAGAGACGAGGTTTAGCATAGTTTTTAAGTCTTCAGTATAGTCAAATACTATTTTAACCATACCT